TATTATGCACACACCCACATATTATATATTATACACACACCCACATATTATATATTATACTCACACCCACATATATATTATACACACACCCACATATATATTATACACACACCCACATATATATTATGCACACACCCACATATATTATACACACACCCACATATTATTTATTATACACACACCCACATATATATTATGCACACACCCACATATATTATACACACACCCACATATTATTTATTATACACACACCCACATATTATATATTATACACACACCCACGTATTATATATTATACACACACCCACATATTATATATTATACACACACCCACATATTATATATTATACACACACCCACATATATATTATACTCACACCCACATATATATTATACACACACCCACATATATATTATACACACACCCACATATATATTATACACACACCCACATATATATTATACACACACCCACATATATATTATACACACACCCACATATATATTATACACACACCCACATATATTATACACACACCCACATATTATTTATTATACACACACCCACATATTATATATTATACTCACACCCACATATATTATGCACACACCCACATATATATTATACACACACCCACATATATATTATGCACACACCCACATATATTATACACACACCCGCATATTATTTATTATACACACACCCACATATTATTTATTATACACACACCCACGTATTATATATTATACACACACCCACAACCACACACACCCACACTTGTGAAACACCACGTATTTGTGAAACACCTACATTCACATAGTCTATGATTCACATACACCTCACATTATATTTAGGGCTGTCAAACGATTACATTTTTTAATCGAGTTAATTACAGCTTAAAAATTAATTAATCAGATAAGATTCGGTTTATTTGCCATTTGCAGTAAAAAAAAAACACATTGGAATACATTAGCAAAAGTCTCCAGTGTGCACAGACAAATACAGACATAAAACAACATTAAAAGACAAAAATAAAACAAATAAAACAGTAAACAAATGTCACTGTGAAATCGATCGACTAAAACAGTTTCAAAACAAGTGCAAATCATTAAAGTACACACTGATAACAGCTTGTGGATAAAAACTGTTAGAGTAACGAGATGTCCTGCATCTCAGAGAGCGATATCTTCTGCCAGAGGGAAGAAGCTGGAACATGGCTTTTCCAGGGTGGCCAGAAGAGTCATTGACAATCCTAAGAGCTTTGTTTAAAAGTCTGGATTTATAAAGAACCTCCAGAACAGGAAGCTCACAGCCCACGGTCCTCTTTGCAGAGCGGAGCACCTTGTTTAAAGCTCTCTTTTCTTTATCTGTGATGTTTCCAAACCACACAGACACAGAACCAACAAGCAAACTCTCAATGGTGCAGCGATAAAAGTTAAGCAGAATCTTAGAGTTAGTGGTAAATTCTCTAAGTTTACGCAGAAAGTAGCAACGCTGACGAGCTTTCTTAACGACTCGGTCAGTGTTTTTAACCCATTTCAGGTCGTTAGACAGAGTTAAACCCAGAAACTTGCACTCCTCTACGATCTGCACTCGGGAGTTGTCGATTACGACAGGCAAATGAGAACTATTGCGACTGAAGTCGTAGACCAGTTCACATGTTTTCGATGCGTTCAACTGGAGGTTGTTAGTTTTACTCCAACACTTAAACCGAGAGACATGAGCTTTTCAATCAGTTTACCTGGGACAAGGCAGTTAAAAGCAGAGCTATAATCGATGAAAAGCATTCTCGCGTCAGATTTACTAGTGTCCAAGTGACTGTAAACAGAGTTCAGAGCAAAGGAGATGGCATCCTCCACACTCCTGTTCTGTCTGTAAGCAAACTGGAGTGGGTCAACACTCACAGGGATCTGGCTCTTAATGAAGTCCAGCACAAGCCGCTCAAAAGTTTTCATAAGAACAGACGTGAGGGCCACAGGACGATAGTCATTCAGGCATGTCACAGGAGTTTTCTTAGGAACTGGAATGATGGTCGACTCTTTAAAGCAATTTGGCACAGTACAGTTCCTTAGCGACAGGTTGAAAATGTCTGTTAGCACAGGGGCAAGTTGCTCACGGCACAGTTTCAGGACACGAGGAGGGATGCCGTCCGGGCCTGGGGCTTTCCGGACTGTGGTCCTGGACAAGACACGCCTGACTTCATCCTGAGTCACGGTGAAGGTACCTTGATTGAAACACTCAGGGAATACAGTAGGACAGGCATCAGCGGATTCAAAGCGACAGTAGAACGTGTTCAGCTCGTTTGGCAGAGCTTGGCCGACAGATGCAATTTTCCCAGCTCTAGGTTTCCACGATGTGATGGCTTTAATACCGTTCCACATGCGCCGAGGGTCATCTTCCTCAAAATAACTCTTTAACCTGTCCCCGTAACTGCGCTTTGCAGATTTAATAGAACGTTTCAATGAGTAACAGGATAGCTTATAAGCAACTGTATCATTTGATTGAAACGCCAACGCACGCTCATGAAGTTTCAGTTTCACTTCCGCGTTCATCCAAGGGTTTTGACTAAAATGTTCTTTAATGACCTGTGGGACACAACAGTCAATACAGAAGCGTATGTATCCAGACACAGCGTCACAGAATTCATTGACGTCCTCTGACTGAAACACAGACCAGTCCGTAGCATCAAAACAACCTTGTAGCTTCATGCAAGCCTCCTCAGACCAACACTGCACAGTGTGAGAGGTTGGTTTATGTTCCCTGCTCCTCTGAGTATACGAAGGAAGAAGGAGAACAGAGGAGTGGTCAGACTTTCCAAAAGGAGGTCTGAGACTGGACCTGTAAGCTCCCTTCACGTTACTGTAGCAGTGATCCAGAACATGTGCTCCTCTTGTAGCTTGAGTCACATGTTGGTAAAAGTTCGGGAGTACAGTCTTTAAATTACATTTATTGAAATCCCCAGCAACAATGATGACTGCGTTAGGATGAGCAGACTCATGTTTGTGAAGGATCTCGCTCAGATCCTGTAGGGCTACTTTGTAATCCGCACGTGGGTGAATGTAAACAGCACATAAAAATATTACTGAAAACTCACGGGGAAGATAAAAAGGGTGGCAGCTCAAGACCAGGCATTCCAGATTGGCAGTACATGTTTGGTTCACGATGTGAGTGTCCGTGCACCAGCGCTGATTAATTAAAAAGCACACACCTCTGCCTCTGGCCTTGCCCGTGGTCTCCTTCACTCTGTCCCCGCGGTGAGCGGTGAATCCCGGGGGCTGAACAGCAGAGTCCGGGACGTTCGAGTGGAGCCACGTCTCGCTGAGGCAGAACACAGCGCAGTCCCGGGCCTCGCGCTGGCTCTGGACCCGAACTATCAACAAAATGATGGCATATTTTTCTGTAGATGGTTGTTTGAATGGAAAGATAAATTATGACATAGTGTACATAAGAACTGTATTTGTTTATTATAACAACAAATCCGCATTAAATGGCATAAACGTTATTAACTTTCTTTAAAAGACAGTTTTTTTCCTCTAAAAAAAGCAAAAAGAGGGCCCGCTTGTTCAGTAACAGAAAACAGTTTTTTCCCTTTTTAAAACAAGCACAACATGGCTATTCTCTAACATTTTATTTCTTAAACCAAAAGTGCAGTAAGAAACATCAGTCTATCTGCTTCTGCTTTGAGCTTCATCATATAAATCAAATGTTTCTTCTGCTCTGTTCAAACAAAGTGTGTGGTGTGTCATTTAAATGTGGCCCTACTCATCTCCCAGCCAGTTGCTGAGGCAAACCAACTTATTAACATTTTCTGAGAGTAAAGCTGCCCTTTTCTTGTTCACAATGTGACCTGCAACTGAGAAGAGTCGTTCACACGGAACTGAGGATGCAGGAGCAGCGAGATATTGAAGAGCCAGTTGGGCCAGCTCCTCATGGGCCCCTACATGAGATGACCACCATTGCAAGGGACAGTCCTTCATATCAATGGTGGGCTCTGCTCTGTACCTGTGTATGGCTCTGTCAGGCTGTACCTCCTCCTCAGGATTTCAGTGTCTTTTGTCTCGTGCACTTCATTTTTGTTTCATCTGTGTTCTATAAATCCACACCGGCAGGGGTTTGACCGAGGGCCGACTGATTTGACACAAGCAGTCGACTTGTACTGACAACAACAGCTACCTGCAGTGACAAGTTGCCGTCACTTTTCATCTGATGCAAAGCTTGCCACGTTCTTTATGAATAGTTAAAAACCCTTTCTGGGGCAGACTTCAAATTGAATGTAATGATGGCCTAGTGGTTAAGGCATTGCTCTTTTGATGCAGCAACCTGGGTTCAAATCCGGACTTCCGCAGTGTTTTGAATTAAACTATATATTATGACAGATTGCTTAAGAACGGTAAAAGGTAAAAACAAGCCGTTTTTTTTGCAGATTAAAGCTAAGAAGCTAATCTTAAATGTAGACTATATAAACACTGAGGGCCAAATGAAAGATTAGATTTAGTAGGATTAATATACTTTGTAGTTTTTGTAATTAATTATAACATGAGTGTAGTGAAAAAGCTTAATAAAATAAAAAATATTTCTCATTGCTTTGTGTCACAATAAGTACTGACGTACTCACAATTTTCTATGGTAGACTGTACCAGGCAGGCCCCAGGCCTATCCATTCATTGTTAAAAATAAGAAATGATCTACATTAAAATTTATGTTAATGTAGACAAGTAAAATATACTGCATTTTATCTTATTATCAAATATATATTTATATTTGATAATATAAATATATATTTATCATAAGTAAGAATATATTTATACCTACTGGAATATAAACCTTTTTATGTGGTTATGTGGTCGGTGTCGGGGCCCCCAAGGACTTTGTTGCCTGGGGCCCCGGGGTACCCTTGGAACGCCACTGATTAAACATATAGCTTCACTTATTGTGGGTTATTTTTTGAACACATTACACAATGTGAAAAAAAACAGGGACCCCTGTGCTTCTTTCAAAGGTGGCTTGCGGCCTGAACCACACATTAGTCCTCTCTGCAGACGGGATGATGGTTTGGGCTTTTGGTGATGGAGACTATGGCAAACTAGGCCTTGGAAACTCCACAGCCAAATCCTCTCCTCAGGTGCAGTAACAGTCTTTATCAAATTCTGTTTCTCTTTTGTAGAGATTCTTATGTAAAAAAAAATGTCTTGTGATATTTGCAGAAGGTGGATGTTCTGTGTGGAATAGGCGTCAAGAAAGTTGCCTGTGGAACTCAGTTTTCTGTGGCTTTAACCAAAGACGGAAAGGTGTTCACCTTCGGACAAGGTATGTTTCATTTTGAAACAGCACTAAACCTTAGTTATTGTTTTTTCATCAGTGTATACAGGGTACCGAGTTATGAGCACGTAGAAGTGGTTTAGCTGCTTTGGCATTTATTTGGTTTTATTTATATGGTTTATTTGAGTGAGCACAAAAATAACAAACACATAGGAGCCATTGGCCCACAAGGAGCAATCAAATGTTGATACATTTGCAAGAAGTGTCCAGGATCATCACTGTCCTTAGACCCTTCTGCATCAGGAAGGAACAACTCAGGGTGCAGATTTAGGTCTGAGGCTGTAGGTCCAGGTCTGAGGCTGTAGATTTAGGACCGAGGCTGTAGATCCAGGTCTGAGGCTGTAGCTCCAGGACCGAGGCTGTAAACTCTGGCTGTGGCTACAGAAGTAATTTATCACTACTGTGTTTGGAGTGAATGAATTATGCTGTGAAGAGACTTTGATAGTGTTTCATGTTTTCCAAAGTAATTAGTGTCATTATTTTTAAAAGCCAAACATAATGTTTGACGTTTGTTGTTTAAAGGCTTCCTGTGTGTGTTGTGTTCGCAGATCGCCTGATTGGTCTTCCCGAGGGCAGAGCCAGGAACCACAACCGGCCGCAGCAGGTGCCTACACTGACCGGAGTTCAAGTCACAGACGTCGCGGTGGGGGCAGAGCATTCTCTGGTGTTGTCCGCCGCAGGGGACGTTTACACCTGGGGCAGCAACTCAGAGGGACAGGTAAAGGCTCAAGGCTCAATATAATCAGGGGGAGACCAGAGAGAGAGACCAGAAAGAAATACCAGAGAGAGAGACCACATAGAGACCAGAGATAGTTAGATCAGAGCGAGGGAGACCAGAGCGAGGGAGACCGGAGCGAGGGAGACCGGAGCGAGGGAGACCGGAGCGAGGGAGACCGGAGCGAGGGAGACCGGAGGGACCAAAGAGAGGGAGACCAGAGGGACCAAGGAGAGGGAGACCAAAGAGAGGGAGACCAAAGAGAGGGAGACCAAAGAGAGGGTGACCAAAAAGAGGGAGACCAGAGAGCGAGAGACCAGAGAGCGGGAGACCAGAGAGCGGGAGACCAGAGAGACCAAAGAGATGGAGATCAGAGAGAATATGTTGTACCTCATATCTCATTGTTGTGTTCTGTGTGTCCTCAGCTGGGTCTGGGCCACACCAACCACGTCAGAGAGCCCACGCTAGTCACAGCACTTCAGGGTAAAAACATGCACCAGATCTCAGCAGGGCGGTGCCACAGTGCAGCGTGGAGCGCCCCCTGTGTGCCTCCCAGAGCTCCAGGTACGAGCCTGATACAGACACAGACAGACGGCAGTATACACACACCCTCTCTTCTATCTCTCTCTGTTCTTTCTCTCTCTGGTATCTATCTCTAGTCTCTGTCTGACAAAGCTGATCTAAAGATTTGACAGGGCCAAAAATACATGGTGAAATAGGAGCAAACTGATTTAGAGCCAGGAACAGGAGAGCTGGCTTTTATGACATAGATAATGGTTGTGGTGAAAGTTCGGCACCTCAGCATTTAAGTGGGTCACATTTTGGTTGTGTACTGTTTCCAGGTATTTTGTGTCTTGATGTGTTGTGGTCTCTGCTCAGGTTCCTCCGTGCCCCTGCAGCTCGGGCTCCCTGCCTCAGTCCCTCCTCAGTTCTCTTCTCTGAAGGAGCTCAGTATGGAGTGTGTGCGTGCTCGTCTGCGTCTGCTCTACCACTTTTCCGACCTCATGTACTCGTCCTGGAGACTGCTAAACCTCAGCCCCAACAATCAGGTACTGCTTCACCAGCCAGGTGCTCCTCCACCCACCAGTTACCGCTCTAACAACCAGGGAATGCTGCTCCCCCTCAGCCCCAACCAGGTGCTGCTTCTAACATGTGCACTATAAATAAAGTGGACTGAGCGGTTTGGTTCGCTACTGCTGTTGGGGTTATAGGAGACATATTTTGAAAATTATCTCTCTTTTCTCCATTTTACAACACTGTTTCTCATCAGCCCCAGACCTAGAGATGTTTTTAGCTCCATCCATGGAAATATCAGGAAGTTCTGGCTAGGGCCGTCGCAGTAAATTATTTATCGAGTTATCTAATTATGAGGTCTGTAAGTCTGACAGCCTCAATAAGTTCCATTTGTTTCGTTTGATCGCTCTGTCTTTAACTTTCTTACCTGACAACGCATGGTCTCCTTGTGTGTTACGCAAGAGCCAGAGGCATGTAATGTGGTACAACCCTGCCCCACTGCCCGGACAGTTTGCCACAGTGTGTGTCTGCACCGCGGGGAGCAAGCATGGATGTAATATATGCTTGACGGATACTCGAACGGATTATGCATCCTATGTTGTTGCAGCGTTCTGACCCCGGACCAACTGCGGGAACTTTGTAGTGAATGACAACGGCCCCTATATCCAGCGGCCGTGAGCCACTTTGACAATAGTGCGGCAGACGCGCAGCCGTGACCAGGCCATAATGTGTCCACAGTGCGGACCACGGATGCGGAAAGGATCATCCTGCTTGTTGCAAGTGTGTGCCTTTGCATAACCTGTGCAATAAATATGTAGCACTGAAACTCAAACTCACTAAATTAAAACTGGGGTACTGTGGTAACTTGTGCTCAAAAGTAAAAACAAGCTACACACAGGTTTTCATTAGTTCCATCAAAGACAAAATAATCAGGGAGATCAAAGAGTCAATTGTTGCTATTTATTTATTCTTTTTTCTAGGAGTATTTTTCATTAACCGAGACTGAGTTTGTTTAAATGTCTTCCAGTTTCAGAACTGTGTTAAATGCTTGAAGAAGCAAAAGTTTATTGGTCTTTCAAAAGGTCTATTTGCTGCTATTATTCCATTCAGCCTTAATTAAGTGGAAAAAGCATCAAAATGGCAAGTTAAAAATGTATCGCAATATTATCACTTATTGGAAAGATTTTTGGGACATTTAATCATCATGGACATTTTTTTATTGTAACAGGCCTAGTTCTGGCACAAAACAGAGAATGTACCAGGGGTGGACTGACCGAGTGCCATGTCACCATAGTGTTGGCCGAATGCAGAAGAGGCCGAATTGAACATGAATAGAGAGGAGGGGAGGAGTGAGAGGAGAGAGGGAGAAGAGACTTGAAAGGAGGAATGAGCACGGGAGAGGTGAAAGAAAGAGTGAGGAGAGGTGAGGGTAGGATGGAGGAGAGTAGAGGAAGGACTTGTCAAATCTGAGGAGATTTGAACTATATATTTTCTGTTGTGTTTCTGTTACATGTCCAGAGCTGCACGTCTCACTACAATGTGGGCACCTGGGGCATCGTGCAGGGCCAGCTCCGACCCCTGCTGGCCCCGCGGGTCTACACGCTGCCTATGGTTCGCTCCATCGGCAAAACCATGGTCCAAGGGAAGAACTACGGGCCACAGATTACTGTGAAGCGCATCTCCACACGGTCAGTACAGCACTAAGACCACAGGGCAGAGATACTGCTGTTATGTACCTAAAGCAACCTAAGTACGTAACGTTTCTAAGTACGTAACTTAGAAATCACACAAAAAATAAATATCCATCTCTATGGGTCTAAAACAGTCTCCTTCTTTACCTAGTATTTTTGTGCTGCAAAAAAGTTGATCTAAAGATGTGATGGACAGAAAGCTGAAAATCGGCTTAAAGAATCGAATATTGACTCACAGGAATCTGTCTTACACAAAGATGAAGACTGCATGTTGTCTGATCTGTTCACAACATTTTACTTTTACAAGACTCTTATCTTGTGTGACAGCTGGTAACAACCTCAGTGTGCGTGTTTACCATATGTAGCAGTGGTCCCCAACCCCCAGTCTGCGGATCAGTACCGGGGCGTGGGACATTCGAATTAGGACTGGGCCGCGAAGGAAAGAATGAATATTGTCCATATTTATCATCCAAGTCTAAACAATCTTTTTTTGAAAAATGACCGGATTCTGGACATCCGGTCCACGTAGGTTTCTTCCAGGTGCTTGTAGGCTATCCCCCACCCGCATGTGCCACCGTGGTCACCGAAAGAGTAGCGCCCATATTTGGGTATCGTCTGGTCCACACTGTTCTGCGCAGTGAACAAGCTCCCATGATGCAATGCGCCTAATACGCCTAATACGCGTGTGTGGCTCTCATGCACGTGCACTGAGGGGCACGGCCATGCTCTGACCAATCAGAGCGGAGCTAGAGTGGAGCTAGAGCGGGACACGATCGAGCAGAGTTGTGGCGCTAAAGTGTGGATTTAAAGAAAACCGAAAGATTTTTAAGAAGAAAAATAGTTTAGGATGACAAGGTGATCCTAAACTAAAGGCTAAAGTCCCCACAAAATCCGACCATTATGAAAGCTGTAGGTTCTCTGTCAGCAGAGGTTGAGCTGTTTTAGTTTACATTGAGTTCTATGAGGAATATTTTGGGGTAGCCCACGTGAATTTAGTCTTGTTTAGTCTGCATTACTGCGAGAATCCCCCAAGCATATGGGTCCTTCAGCTCCATGCTAGTAATACCCTATCCTATATTCAGCACTTTGAATTGCCTTGTGTATGAATTGTGCTATATAAATAAACTTGCCTTGCCTTGCCTATCCAGATATTATAATACATCCATGGTGTGCATTTGTATACCCTCTTGGTAACAGCCTGTTTGTCAGTGATGTGCGGTGAGGTTGGTGATTGGTGAGGCACTGACTTCACCCCAATCAGATGAACATACAGTGCCTTGCGAAAGTATTCGCCCCCCTTGAACCTTTCAACATTTCGCCACATTTCAGGCTTCAAACATAAAGATATCAAAATTAATTTTTTGTCAAGAATCAACAACAAGTGGGACACAATCGTGAAGTGGAACGAAATGTATTGGATAATTTAAACTTTTTTAACAAATAAGAAACTGAAAAGTGGGGTGTGCAATATTATTCGGCCCCCTTGCGCTAATACTTTGTAGCGCCACCTTTTGCTGCAATTACAGCTGCAAGTCGCTTTGGGTATGTCTCTATCAGTTTTGCACATCGAGAGACTGGATTTCTTTCCCATTCTTCCTTGCAAAACAGCTCGAGCTCAGTCAGGTTGGATGGAGAGCGTTTGTGAACAGCAGTCTTCAGCTATTTCCACAGATTCTCGATTGGATTCAGGTCTGGACTTTGACTTGGCCATTCTAACTAGGGATGTAAATCGGCGACCGGTTAACCGGTGGTTGACCGTCACAGCGTTAACCGGTCAAAGCTGTCGGTTAAAAAAGAGAAAAAGGGGAGAGGGTAGGTCTCTTAATAACGCTATTTTAAGCCCTATTTGCACGGTGTGACGAGCGGGTCTGTATCTAGCTGTGTGCGCCCATGTATTATAAACTCCGGGACGACTCTCACGCCGCACGAGCCACATATGCACACACGCACGCGCGCGCACGCACACACACACACACTTTCCCCCTCTCCATACGTAACATCCACACGCATCATCTCTCCCCTCTGTTACCGTCAAAGTTGCACACTGGCGCGGGTCAGAACTACATTGGAGCTTACATTTACACACACACACACACATACATACATACACACACACATACACACATACATACCGGTCTGTCGCGCTCCTCTGTGTCACGGAGCCCAAAGGATTCGCGCAAATACGCGGCTCCAGTCAAACCACATGGGACATGTTTGTGTTTATGGTCCTCGGGATCAGCTCCACACACATCACTTGTATTTAAACTTTTGTGAAGACCTGTGAGACGCGGCTCGTCACTCGCTGCTCTGACCATGTGAACGAGCCGTCGTTTTCTGCTAGAAAGTTTTGGTATTAACCCGCAGCACAGCAGAATGGGAAGATTAAAAAAGCAGTTCTCTGTGCGCAAAGGTGCCGGAGCTGTTGCGGGTTTGGGCGCCGCTGTCTCGGCTCTGATCCAGTAGAACGCAGAGCTGCACTTATGAAAAGTACGCGGCTCGAAATGGCTGTTATTTCAAAGAACGTGGACTATTTTAAACTACGCGGTTAACCGGTTTCAACCGGTTAATGAGGCTCGGTGGTCGGTCATGAAAATTCATAGTTTTTTACATCCCTAATTCTAACACCTGGATACGTCTATTTGTGAACCATTCCATTGTAGATTTGGCTTTATGTTTTGGATCATTGTCCTGTTGGAAGATAAATCTCCGTCCCAGTCTCAGGTCTTTTGCAGACTCCAACAAGTTTTCTTCCAGAATGGTCCTGTATTTGGCTCCATCCATCTTGCCATCAATTTTAGCCATCTTCCCTGTTCCTGCTGAAGAAAAGCAGGCCCAAACCATGATGCTGCCACCACCATGTTTGACAGTGGGGATGGTGTGTTCAGGGTGATGAGCGGTGTTGCTTTTACGCCAAACATATCGTTTTGCATTGTGGCCAAACAGTTCGATTTTGGGTTTCATCTAACCAGAACACCTTCTTCCACATGTTTGGTGTGTCAAACGAGACTTTTTATGGATATCTTTGAGAAATGGCTTTCTTCTTGCCACTCTTCCATAAAGGCCAGATTTGTGCAGTGCACGACTGATTGTTGTCCTATGGACAGACTCTCCCACCTCAGCTGTAGTTATCTGCACTTCATCCAGAGTGATCATGGACCTCTTGGCTGCATCTCTGATCAGTCTTCTCCTCGTTTGAGATGAAAGTTTGGAGGGACGGCCGGGTCTTGGTAGATTTGCAGTGGTCTGATACTCCTTCCATTTCAATATAATTGCTTGCACAGTGCTCCTTGAGATGTTTGAAGCTTGGGAAATATTTTTGTATCCAAATCCGGCTTTAAACTTCTCCACAACAGTATCTCGGACCTGCCTGGTGTGTTCCTTTGTCTTCATGGTTCTCTCTGCACTTTAAACAGAACCCTGAGACTATCAAAGAGCAGGTGCATTTATACGGAGACTTGATTACACACAGTTGCATTCTATTTATCATCATCAGTCATTTAGGACAACATTGGATCATTCAAAGATCCTCACTGAACTTCTGGAGTGAGTTTGCTGCACTGAAAGTAAAGGGGCCGAATAATATTGCACGCCCCACTTTTCAGTTTTTTATTTGCTAAAAAAGTTTAAATTATCCAAAAAATTTCGTTCCACTTCACGATTGTGTCCCACTTGTTGTTGATTCATGACAAAAAATTAACATTTTATATCTTTATGTTTGAAGCCTGAACTGTGGCAAAATATTGAAAGGTTCAAGGGGGCCGAATACTTTCGCAAGGCACTGTATATATCATATAAATCAACAGGACCTACAGAGCGGCATATTCACAATTTGTTTGGCTACATAGTTTTGCTCATACAAAATGCAAAAGTTTGTAAAAAGCACATTTCAAAGTGTGTTATGGTCCTTACCTTATAAATGAACTACACAGACCCCTTCTGTCCAGACCAGTTTCATGTTTAAGTCCAGATAATAGTTTGAGCGTAGATATGTAATTCTCCATTTAGAAATAAGCAAAAAACTAACGGATGTCTCCTCCATTGACTCCTTATGTGTTTTTCTAGCTGCAGCCTAATCTCGGGTACATCCAATTTCTGAAATCAACCTTCTCAACTTTCACCTCTCTTCCTTATCATTCAAATCATAATTGGAAGCACAAAATTACTCTAAGTGCATTTTAAATTATCTTAAAATATGTTATATGTATGTTAGCCAAACCTGTAGCTGCCCTTAGCAGAGGAAGAACAAGAAAGGAGCTTTCTGATGCAATCGGATGCAACCAAAGTCTCGGCTCACAAGCGTCCCCTACTCTGAGGCTGGCCTCAATTGGTGACATTACTAGCTGTTGTTGAGCGTGATAAAGAACCATATTAGTTGTCAAAAACACAATTTATGACCCATCCCCTCGACTGTAGACATGTAGATTGTAAATTAAATATGTTTCCACTTTGTAAACCGCGATAAACAGAGAAAACCGTTTGATAGCGCCACATGGGCTACTTCCATTGTGAGCTGTTGCTTTTACGTCACCCAAGTGAGGCTCGCCTCACAGCGCGCCGCTCTGTCATATATGAGAAGAATATGACAAAAATCTGCGATTTCAAGCTAAAAACTAATTTAAATAAGGCAAAGTTACATTGAAACAATACAATAGCACATACAGTATCACTTGATATAGTGACAAAGTATTATTGTTTCCATTTTGTTCTTTTTTCTTTCCATGATCTTAGGTGAGGCCTGGCCTCACCTGCCTCATCTGACCGCACGTCACTGGTGTTTGTGTGTGTGTCTATGTGTGTATGTTCAGGGGTCGCAAGTGTAAGCCCATCCTGGTGCAGATCGCTCGGCAGGTGGTGAAGCTGAATGCTTCAGACCTGCGGCTGCCGTCTCGGGCATGGAAGGTGAAGCTGGTGGGGGAGGGAGCTGACGACGCAGGGGGCGTGTTCGACGACACCATCACAGAGATGTGCCAAGTACGCACCCACGAGACAGACATACGCACACACACACACACACCAGAAGACCCAAGACACGCTGGAGGGATAGTGTCTGTGTTAATGCTGATATTTAACTACAGTTGAACTTGGACAAAATCGCACACACAAAAATACATTGTTCTGGCATTCTTTAATTACTTGGTTGCCTTCCAAGGAGAAGTATTTTGACACAGACAGAGCAGATGAGAGCTCTGCCTGTTTCAAAACAGATCTGATCTCAGAGAAGGCTGCCTCTCCTTTTGGTCAACAAGACGTACTTTCATATGCATATAGGTATGGGGAACCAACAGAGCAAAGGGACAATGACAAGACCACTGTTTAGATGTAAATAGAAGGCCCATGCTTACTCGTGGCAAATGGATCAACTTACTGTACAAACCCCCTTCGCCCAGATTGGCTGGAGCCAAGGTGAATAACAATACAACCATTTAATGAAACCCATATATTTTTTAGCCACATATGACTTATTAAAATGATAACTTAAACAACATTCCAATCTCAGTCTCTCAGCTGGCCTGGGAACGCCTCAGGACTTTGATCTTGTTGTAGTTGACTTTAATCTTGTTGTGGTTAACTTTTAGCTTGTTGTAGTTGACTTTGATCTTGTTGTAAATTACTTTGATCTTGTTGTAGTTGAGTTTGATCTTGTTGTAGTTGAGTTTGATCTTGTTGTAGTTTGAACTGGCGTAAGGGCCTATTGCTTTCACAATGGTTAATGCTAGAGGTTGCGGTGACGTGCCCATCACTCGCCAAAACGCAACGGTTGTGTGCATCTACTCAAATGCTTTAAAAGGATGTATCATGTGCCATTTGTTTATTTATTTATATATCTATTTATTTATTTATTTATTACTGAGACAGTGCATATTAATGAACATTTCTGTAAATATGCCAGAATTAGCCAAGCGGCTATTTTTCATCCGTAGTCCCATGTCTTCTGAAAAGATAAAAACATGTTTGCTACACAGTTAAAATAATGTGAGATATTTACAATATTTACAAGGACAAGACAGTAAAACATTCAGTCACACATTGTTCAACAAACAACAATACACAATCACATGGAGACAGACATAGAACACATACAGGCGCACACAGAGCAAGCGGCCAGCAGGGGGCAGCGAGAGCAGGCGGAGTCAGTGCTGACAGGTTTGATTATCAATGAGCCAGTGTTTTAACTGTGTTTTGTACGTGAGGTAAGAGTGTGCATTCCTGATAGATGTGGGTAGGAGGTTCCAATCTGAGGTGGCACGGACGGAGAATGAAGATTGACCAAATGTGCTTCTCCTGAGGGGGGTGATACAGTCCCCTCTCGCTGCCCCCCTGGTCCTGGTGTGGGTGCTGTTTCTGGTATTGATGAACTGACTGAGAGGTGGGGATGAAAGACGATGAAGGATTTTATAGACCAGACAGAGATTTGAGAACTTGACCATGTTATCGAGAGTGAGAAGTGTGTGTTTGTGTAGTATGGGACAGTGGTGAGGGTGATGGGGTTTCTTGTCCAGGGTTTTTACAGTCTGTTTGTAGAGTGAGTGCAGGGGTTTCAGGGCTGTGGTGTTTGCTTGGGACCAGGTAGGGAGACAGTATGTGATGTGGGACAGAATCATGGAGGGCATAAACATTTTCGCTGCTGGAGTAGACATTTGGTGGCGGATGTGTTTGAAGTTGCAGAGGTTGTATTTAATTTTATTGCATGTTTTTTAATGTGAGCTTTGAATGAAAGATAAGATGTGCTTTATTTATCTCACAGAGGAGAAATTTACATGTCACATTTGGCATGGATAGAACACTCAGATTGTGCAAAAGGAGGAAATGTGCAAATATGTTACATGCAGGATATATGTACAATAAAAGTGACAATAATTATGTACAACAAAAGTGACAAGTGTCAATTGGAAACAGTGTCAATAGTAGTGCAGGTTTTCACACAGTGATCATTTAAAGTGATCACTGTGTGAATCACTTTAAATGATTTACACAGTGAATCATTTAAACTGTACAGTCTGACAGCGGTGGGGATAAAGGCCCTGCGGTAGCGCTCCTTCCTACACTGAGGGTGCCTCAGTCTTCCACTGAAGGAGCTCCTCAGCTCCTCTACAGTCCTGTGCAGTAGGTGGGAGGTATTGTTCATGATGGAGGTGGCTTTGGCTAGGGTCCCTCCTGTCCCTCACCTCCTCCATAGAGTCCAGGGAGCAGCCCAGAGTGGAGCTGGCCCTCCTGACCAGCTTGTTCAGTCTGTTTCTGTCCCGCTCTGTGCTGCCCGGGGCCCAGCACACGGCAGCGTAGTAAATGGCAGAAGCTACCACAGAGTTATAAAAAGTCCTGAGCAGAGGCCTGCTCACTCCGAAGGACCTCAGCCTCCTCAGAAGGAAGAGACGACTTTGGTCCTTCTTGTACAGGGCGTTTGTATTATGGGACCAGTCCAGTTTATTGTTAATGTGAACACCCAGGTACTTGAAGCTGTCCACCAGCTCAATGTCCTCCCCCTGGATGTTCAGCAGCGTGTGGGAAAGTGGTTTTCTCCTGAAGTCGATGATCATCTCCTTAGTCTTACTGGTGTTCAAGCACAAGTGGTTGCACTCACACCAGTCGACAAAGTCCTTGATAACCGACCGATATTCCAGTTCGTTCCCCTCAGACACACAGCCCACGATGGCGGAGTCGTCGGAGAACTTCTGCAGGTGACAGCTGTGTGTGTCGTGTGTGAAGTCTGAAGTGTAGATGGTGAAGAGAAACGGTGAGAGGACAGTGCCCTGAGGGGCCCCAGAGCTGCAGACTACCACCTCAGACTCACAGCTGCGCAGACGCACGTTCTGTGGTCGGTCTGAGAGGTAGTTGATGGTCCATGCAGTGAGGCTACTGTCCACTCCCGCGTCCTCCATCTTCCCCTGCAGCAGTGCCGGCCTGATGGTATTGAAAGCGCCGTGTGAAAGGTTGAAAGGTGTGAGTCAACTATTATTCCGAGGTATTTGTATTATGTGACGATCTGTTGCCTGAAACTAAAACATCTGGATCTGTGCATGGGAGAGATTTGTAAGATTTGGAGAAGAACATTGCAACTGTTTTGGATGTATTAAGTTTGAGACAGGAGTGATTGAGCCAGGATGAAATGTGAGCCATGGAGTTAGTGAGTTTTTCAGCAACCTGTGAAGTGTTATTGCCATGTGTGAATATTACTGTGTCGTCGGCGTACATGAGTATGGGAATGTTGCAGACAGAGGGGAGGTTGTTAATGTAGAGGGAGAAAAGTAGAGGAGCTAATGTGGACCCTTGAGGAAGACCGGTGGAGAGACCGAGAGGTGAAGACTGGTGAGACTGGATACGGACCTGTTGCGAGCGATGTGAGAGATATGATTTAGAAGGATTTTGTGGTTAACTGTATCAAATGCTTTTTTGAGGTCTAAGAAAACAGCACCCACCACCTCTCCCCTGTCCAGCAGTGCTCTGATGTTCTCTGTGAAGTAGCAGGTGGCTGTTTCGGTGGAATGGTGGGTTCTGAAGCCAAACTGCATTGGGTGGAGACTGTAGGGTGTGGTGTTAAGGTGTAGGGATATTTGTTCTGCAACTAATTTTTCTGCTATTTTAGAGACTGAAGGTAGGATGCTTAGGATGCAATAGGATTTAAACCTATATTGTCTTTGCTCAAGAAATGTAAAAAAAAAAACGTATTATTAGGCTTGAGCGCCAAACTGGTGCTTTAAAATGATGTATCATGTGCCATGGAAACCAATATTGTTTTTGCTTGAGGATGGATTTTCGGAAAAAAAAATAAAATACATGCATGAATAGTTGCCAAATTTTGCCCAAAGATCAGTTCCGGCGTTCTGTCAAGTTGGTCTGCCCGTCGAGATGATCTGCCTCAGCTGTTAATGATGTAATGCAAACGCGTCTCACGGCAGCCGAAGCAATCCAAGATGGCGGACATGTAGTCCGCGAATTGTTTTAAAAGTTAAAATACGAACGAATTAAGACACGAATGTTACTTTTAATGCAATGTGAGGAGAGATGTTGATGGTTCTGCGTTGTGATATATGGGGTTTAAGAGTAAGAGTTTCGTGTAAAGTTTGTTTTAAGCAGTCCACTGCTCCTGTGGAACTACACTGCTAGTGTACCCAAATCTAATTTGTGCATGCGCAGAAACCTGCCAGAATGGAGAAAAAACTCGATCTAATTAAATATTTTGTTTGAACACACTATTGTTAATCATATTTATTACAGTATGATACATGCATTAAATTTAATTTATTGTTTCTTGTGACGGAGCGCCAGTGACTGCTCCGTCATAAACTGTGTGGTGCTCTCTCTCCCTGCGCTGAAGAGAGGAGCGTGCGTGTGGCGCGGCATGACGGCCGCACGGCCCTGCATCAACGCAAACTCTTCCCCTGCCAATACTATCCCCGTAGCGCACAAGGGTGCACACTTGCTGCCTACACACACATCTCATCTTCCCCCATACACAACTCACCTGCTGCTTGTCTCGGTCCACTGGCCAAACCGAGGCACTTCCTGGTCGCACCATATATAGCGCAGGGCGCATGTGGTGGGCCAGAGGACTCTATTTCTTAAATGTATTAAAATGTGTCTTTTTCTATTGTTTTGCCTTGCTATATGTGGCTATGGAGAGCCATGTTCACACTGAGGAACAGGGAGGGAACTTTGTGTAGGATTCCTTTATTTTATCTGTTTAGAAGAAAACCCCCTGTTAATTTGTAATGGGTTAGCCCAGGGGCGGGGCTAACCAGTTTAAAAGAGTGCGTGCTCACTCCTGGGAGTCGTTCTGTCAGTCTGTGAGTGAGCTGGAGTGAGCTGTACCTAAATTGAACCCAAACTGAGCTGGCTGTAAGTCCTGTCTGTTTTTGTGAGTCTTTTGGTTTTCTCCTGCACTGTAAATATTTTTCACTGTTCACTGTTTTGGGGTGTAAATAAAACCACCACAATTTATTTTCCCGACTGAGCCATCATTATTCCCATCATTTTTAAACGAACCCTCACATTTCCATTATCAACCCGAAAGACCAGTCACAGGACCCGTCATGGGCCTACGTCAGTAAAATGACGTATGCAGCAGTCAACTCAGGGACTGCTATCACACAGCAGCAGTGTAGTTTCACAGGAGCAGTGGACTGCTTAAAACAAACTTTACACGAAACTCTTACTCTTAAAACACACATTTCACAACGCTGAACCATCACCATCTCGCCTCAAATTGCATTAAAAGTGACATTTGTATCTTAATTCGTTCGTATTTTAACTTTTAAAGCAATTTGCGGACTTCATGTCCGCCATCTTGGATTGCTTCGGCTGCCGTGAGACGCGAATGCACAGGTTTGCATTACATCATTAACAGCGGAGGCAGATCATCTCGACGGGCAGAACAGCTCGACAGAACACCGGCAAAAGATGTATGTTTTTGGATTATTTTTTCCAGAGACAAGAAAAATTCAGTTTGTCCTAGAGCCACAATATTTGGTACACATATTTAGGAGGTTTAAACTATGCTAAGATATCTTAAATTGAGTAGAATAACGTTATGTCTGCTCTCACAGATGCATGCGTGATTCTGAGGGTGAATTTTAATTAGACTTAGTTTAAATCAGTGGTCCCCAAACTACGGCCCGCGGGCCGAACTCGGCCCGCCTCTACATTTGCTCCGGCCCCCTGAACAATACCAGAGAGTATTTTCATATATGGGCCTGTTCACACTAAAGGGCTGTGAGATTTCATAACATTTTTAAGCAACTTTTGTTAAAGTTAAACTCATCATTCTATCAATGTGCAGAAGCCAGTACTTTTCCCTTGTTTTGTCCATCTGAAGGCCAAGCTACATGGCACTGTGGCAGCTGCTGATTGGAGGTCTCCATGCCTCCGCTCTGTATAATACACTTGCTGTCGTAACATCCCTTGTTCGTGTCGTTTTTTTTTTACACAAAAATGTGGGGTTTTTTTCAAGCCAAAACTGAAAAACCTCAAGAGAACCCATGCATCTGGACCAGCACACTTGGACAATCTGCACAGCCCCTGATTCCACTCAGGTCTGCTGTACGCTGCTGAGACATGGACAATACCATCGTCCTCTTTTGCATGGACAGAATTTGGAACAACTGGATTACACAATTTGGACATAATTTGGAACAATTGGATTTCTGAATTTGGACATAATTTGGACTGAATTGAATTGCTGAATCTGGACACTAAAGCTGAAACGTGTGATTTGAAAGACAGAATTCATCGCTTGACACAACAAATGCAGCCTGAAGAAACCAACACGGAGACGTGGGAGAGACTGTTTTCAAAGCAATATCTGGAACCACCATCGACTGATGAAGTTTGGTATTTTACTGAAGATTGTTGACAAGTTTTCTGAAAGATCTGAACATGTTTTATGAGTTTTCTGAGTTTTTGAAGTATTCAGAGTTCGGAGATTTTTGAGGTACCGAGTTAAGTACCGAGTTTACGTATTGAGTTATGATGTTATGTTGCTGTTTATCGATCCTGATGGTCACACGTGAATGTGTGACCAGACGGGGGAATGTGAGATTTCATAACACTTTGAAGCAACTATTGTTAAAGTTCAAACTCATCCTTATTACATTTGCACGAGCCAGTACTTTTCCCTTGTTTTGACTTCTGAAGGCCAAGCTATATGGCACCGTGGAAGCTGCTGATTGGAGGACTGCATTCCTCCATGCTGTATAATACACTTGCTGTCGTAACATCCCTTGTTCGTGTTGTTCGTGCTGTCTCTACCATTGACAATAAAACATCTCTTCTGTCTGAATTAAACACGCGACCCCAGACTTTGTCATCTTCTTCAGGTGGTGGAAGGATGTGGGCATTGTCTGTAACATCTACAGGATGTTTTTTTACACAAAAATGTGTTTTGTTTTTTTTTCAAGCCAAAACTGAGAAACCATGCATCTGGACCAGCACTTGGACAGTCTGCACAGCCCCTGATTCCACTCAGGCTGTGAGCTGCTGAGACATGGACAATACCATCGTCCTCTTTTGCATGGACACCATTTGGAAAACTTGGATTACACAATTTGGACATGATTTGGAACAATTGGATTTCTGAATTTGGACATAATCTGGACTGAATTGAATTGCTGAATCTGGACACTGAAGCTGAAACGTGTGATTGAAAGACACGTCACAGAAGAATCCATGGCTCGACAACAAATGCAGAAGCCTGAAGAAATCAAAACGAAGAAGTGGGAGAGACTGTTTTCAAAGCAATATTTGGAACCATCGACTGATGAAGTTTGGTATTTTACTGAAGATTGTTGACAAGTTTTATGAAAGATCTGAACATGTTTTATGAGTTTTTGAAGTACCGAGTTTAAGTATTGAGTCATGATGTTATGTTGCTGTTTATCGATCCTGATGGTCACATGTGAATGTGTGACCAGAGGGGGGAATGTGAGATTTCATAACACTTTTAAGCAACTTTTGTTAAAGTTAAACTCATCATTCTATCAATGTGCAGAAGCCTGTACTTTTCCCTTGTTTTAACTTCTGAAGGCCAAGCTACATGGCACCGTGGAAGCTGCTGATTGGAGGACTGCATTCCTCCATGCTGTATAATACACTTGCATTCTGTTGTTTGTGTTGTTCGTGCTGTCTGTACCATCGACAATAAAACATGTCTTCTGTATGAATTTAAGACACGATCCCAGACTTTGTCATCTTCTTCAGGGCACAAAAGTGTGACAAAAGGCCAAAAAATGGATTTTAATAATCCGAATATATTTTATGTTTTTCATGTTTCCAAACACCTCCCCTGTCCATTAGAAGTTGCTAGAACAAAACTGTTTTATACATTAGACAAGTTTCCTAAAGCGGCCCTGTTTATTTCATGTAACGTTGATGATTTGCGGAAGTTAGATAGGTATTTTCAGATGTCCACATTTGATTAAGAGATTCTATTTTTTACACAAAGTAGAAACAAAGTGATACTTTCATATTGTCAACCAATTAAATGTAAAACCAGACCAGATTTTTTTTTTCAAGTTTAGTTTTTTAGAGAAAAGAGGACGGAAACCATCACGTCCGTTACACCTTTTTCAAGGGTAATTAATTTTTGGTAATGGTTAAATCAGAGGCTGATTTTGTCGTTTAAAATGTCGGCAAAAATACTTTCGTCAATCTTTTCTTTTGATTTTATCCACACTATCTCTTCAATGTGTCTGTGTTTGAAATCTTTTTTTTTCCAATTTATGAGAGTAATTCACTTACGCTTAGTCCAGCGGTTGAGTTCAGCTGACGAGACATAGTAACAATACAGACATCAGATGCTTCCTGACAGGCATATTTAGTCACAGGCAAATCATATGGCCATATAGCATTCTCTTTTTGTCTCTATATACGTCTAGCGTTTAGTTCCGTGTTGGAACGTTGCTTGCCAAAAGGGGGCGGTAGAGTACTGTCTCAGAGTCCGTGTCTCCCTCCCACAGAGGGAGGGGGGGTTTTGGTGGGGGCGCTGTCTTTGATGTCCCCTGTGACAATGCGCAGGCCCCTTTAATGACAGTTCTCCTCGGCAGGGGATGACACCTTACTCCCAGCTTGGTCGGAGGAGGCAGATTGTCTTTTAATCCAATTTAGACAGAGAGGCGCGTTGGGATGGCCCCCTGGTCCGTGGGCCTGACTTGTCTCTTTGATGAGAGCTTGTCTCTCATCAAAATTGGTCCCAAAAATTGACTCCAGTTATTGTCTAATCACATGTAGCATCTAAAGTTATCCACAGAATTGTGATTGGTTAAATGGTGTACAGGCTAAGCAACAAACTATTTTGCCTTTTTTTTTTTTAAATACATTTTTTCTTAATTGGAAATTGTTTTGGCCAATTTGCACAACATTTAAATTGGTTGTTCAACTCCTAGGTGTATGTCACCTGGATGTGAAAAATCCCGCCCCTACTGACTGAGCCAAAGGTAGACATTGTATGAACAACACCTCTGTCTCGGCCGTTTCACAGATTTGGCTTAAACTTGCTCCACATCATCTACACACATGTTGCATCAAAAGTTTGCAACAGAATTTTGATTGGTTAAACGTTGTGCAAGCAGCGGAGCAGCAAATGTGGACTTTTTTCCCCAGATTTGAGAATTTCAAATTCGCTCCCATTTACTCATACAAAGTTTGGTTAGCACCAAACGTGAATCCGGTGTTAAACTCTTGGATATAGGTCAGTTGAAAGTGAAAAAAAATTAAATTGCAATGTTAGCACCCCCTACAAAGTGATCCAAAGAATTACATGTGCACTTTGCCAAACCAGCCTCGGCCGTTATTCCAACAGGGCTCAAATTCGCTCCACATACTGTGAACAAGTGTAGCCTCAAAAGTTGGCAGCAGATTTTTTATTGGTTAAACGGTGTGCGCGCACCAGGCGTTTTTGGTTCATTTCTATAGAGACGAAAGAAAATTTCCATGTTATTCAATGGAGACACACACTCACTGATCATATGCATTGCAATGTTTACAATACACAGTGTGTCTCCCAACAGGGCTGTGTGAAGATGGCACGTCAGCGCCACCTCGTTTGGCCGGTGTGGCGAAGGCCGTTTGACGCCGCTTGAGGCTTTAATTGGCTTTGATCTTGTTGTCGTTTACTTAAATCTTGTTTCAGGAGCTGGAGACTGGGATCGTGGACCTGCTCATCCCTTCACCCAACGCCAGCGCAGAGGTTGGCTACAACAGAGATCGGTGAGACATCACACACACACACACACACACACACACACACACACACACACACACACACACACACACACACACACACACACACACACACACAGAGAGGCAGATAAACACACAGACACATTTATTAGGAGATGAACCTTCAAACCAAGGGCTACGATGAGATTACCACCTCGGCTTTGGATTTTAAATGTTATGGAGTTCAACTATTACACATTCATTCTTGGTCTAATAATAGAACAGGGATGTTGTCATTCTCTTATTGGCTAAATTTATGTGTGGACTAAAGGTCTCACAAGGGTCTCTTTCTGGTGTTTGTCTCTTATCTCTCTCTCTTGTCTCTCTCATCTCTCTGTGGTATCTCTTATCTCTCTTTTAAGGTTCAACTTTATTGTCCCTGAAGGGAAACTTGTCTGGTCTCTCTTTTGTCTCTCTCTTGCCTCCCTCTTTTCTCTCTTTCAAGGTTCATGGTTCAACTTTATTGTCCCCAAAGGGAAATTTCTCTGGTCTCTATCACTCTCTGGTCTTGCAGGACCTTTCTGTGAACACAGTTCGTAAGTCACACAGAGATCACACAGAGGGTGTCACCCTGGGATAAAGGTTGTGTGTCCTGCAGGTTCCTGTTTAACCCCTCAGCCTGTCTGGATGAACACATGCTGCAGTTTAAGTTCCTGGGCATCCTGATGGGCGTAGCCATCCGCACCAAAAAGCCCCTGGACCTGCACCTGGCGCCGCTGGTGTGGAAGCAGCTGGTGTGTGTCCCTCTAGTTCTAGAGGATCTGGAGGAGGTGGACCTGTTGTATGTGCAGACTCTGAAGAGCATCTTGTACACAGAAGACAGCGGCCTGACAGAGGATAACTTCAATGACGTGAGGTTTATTGGAGGAGCGAGAGATTTAAGGACCATCTATGTACTGAAGGTGTGTGTGTGTGTTTGTGTCTCTGTCTCTGTCTCTGTCTCTGTCTCTGTCTCTGTCTCTGACTCTCAGATGATCACCCTGGACTCGTTCGTGGGGCAGAGTGCTGATGGGAAGATGGTTCCCATAATCCCCGGTGGGAACAGTATCCCTCTGACCTTTTCCAATAGGAGAGAGTATGTGGAGCGGGCCATTGAGTACCGGCTGCACGAGATCGACAGACAGGTACTGACCATTAGGTCTAAACTGGGCACAATCTGCCCAACCTGGGACAGACGGGTATTTCCCGGTAGTCCCTCTTTCTCTCTCAAGTATAATCCCCTCTCTCCTCAGATGTAATCCCCTCTCTCGCAACTGTAATCCTCTCGCTCTCTCAGAAGTAATCCCCTCTCTCTCTCAGATGTAATCCCCTCTCTCTCTCAACTGTAATCCCCTCTCTCTCAACTGTAATCCCCTCTCTCTCTCAACTGTAATCCCCTCTCTCTCTCAACTGTAATCCCCTCTCTCTCTAAACTGTAATCCCCTCTCTCTCAGATGAAATCCCCTCTCTCTCTCTACAGTAATCTCCTATCTCTCTTCAGATGTAATCCCTGTCTTCTCAGGTGGGTGCTGTCCGGGAGGGAATGTCCTGGATCGTGCCTGTGCCACTCCTCTCCCTCCTCACCTCACGGCAGCTGGAGCAGATGGTGTGTGGTCTCCCGGAGATTAGCTGTGAGGTTCTGAAGAAGGTGGTCCGGTACCGGGAGGTGGACGAGCAGCATGCCCTGGTTCAGTGGTTCTGGCAGACACTCGATCAGTTCTCCAACGAGGAGCGGGTTCTGTTCATGCGCTTTGTCTCCGGGCGCTCCCGCCTCCCGGCAAACACAGCAGACATCTCCCAAAGGTTCCAGGTCATGAAGGTGGACCGGGTCAGTCAACTTTAAATATATATATATCAACCAATACCAACTGAGCCATCCAGCTGCTATATATATATATATATATATATATATATATATATATATACACATATACACATACATACATACATACATACATACATACATACATACATACATACATACATACATACATGTATTATATATATATATGATTATGAGACACACATATATGATATATATATGATTATTTATATATATATATATATATATATATATATATATATATATATATATATATATATATATATATATATAGGGTCAGATCATTAAGGGACTGGATCAGTCACCCTTATTTATATATTTATTAGGGCCGTTAAGGGCTTGCATTCCCACTTAGGCCACAGTCAACAAATTAATAATCCAACAAGTGTACACATCATTACACACACCTGGATCAGTGCATACATCCAATTATTGCACGTATGCAGTTATTGCACATATCCAGTTTTTTCACGCATATAGTTAATGCACACTAGGGGTGTCATGGTATGAAAATTTAACCTCACGGTTATTATCACGGTTTTCGGTATTATTTTCGGTATTATTGCGGTATTTTTTTACATTCAGTGAATATGTTCAGAAAGCATTGATAGTCCTACACAAACTGAAATAGTTTCAAAAAAGTGAACAAATGTAAGCTTCAAGTAACTTTTGGTTGATAACATCCACTTAATTATAATACACGTAGTGTAGAGACAAAGAGGCATTCTGAGAAGGCAAAACTGGAATCCCCTTACAACGAGACACTTTCTGACCTAGAGTCATACATTGACAAAGCTTTTGAGATGTCCAAACCAGATAACAAACATGTAAGAGACGAGCTCAGCTCAAGCGACAACAACATGGATTTGGCAATTGAAATACGACAAACATTGCAAACTATACAACAACAACTGAAAAAGCTGGACACGTTACAACAACTGCAAGAGGATGTCGCAGAATTAAAAACATCATTGGACTTTCACATCTCCTTAGTGGAAGTCCTAAAAGAGGACTACACATCGCTGTGCATCGAAGTCAACAACCTCAAATCTCAGACAGCTCATCTACAACATGACTCAATAAACGCACAGAACACCAATCTGGATCTTCAGTGCAGAAGTATGCGTGACAATTTTATAATACATGGACTTGAAGAAAAACCTAAAGAACAACTGAACAACTAGTCAAAACTTTCTTCATAACTAACCTCAAGATGGATGAGAACACACCGCAGGGAATCCATCTCTCGTGGGGTCACCGCTTGGGCCAACAACGCGAGGGAGCATCCCGATGCCGGCCTATTGAGGCCAAACTTCTGGATCCGAGGCACAAAGCTGTCATCATGGGGAAAGGCAGGGAGCTGAAGGGGACCAAGCTGGCCATCAGCGACCAATTTCCCCAGGAGATCATGCAACGACGCAGGCTGCTCCAGCCCATCTTGGTGAGGCAAGAACCGCAGGAAAAAGAGTATCCGTAGACAAACTTTACATTGACGGAACACTCTACAGATACTCAAAAATAACTTACTGGCTCTTTAATTTCTCCCTTTTCTGTTTATTACTGCTTATTACACGGCTCCTCACAGCAGCAGTAGAATGCTCCATTGATTTGAATGTAATTTCAAAACGTTCTACCGGTCATTATTTTCTATAACGGACCTCTCAAAACAATAATGACCGCTGCCCATGGCAACGCACTCCCTGCTTGTATTTCAAATGCGTGGATAACTCCGCAAGTAGTTCCGGCCACTCCGGAGCTAGCCACGCTCAATAAACACACTTAAATGTTATTCGGACAATACTTTATACATATACATTCTTCACACACGTGCACGGAGATTTTCAGAATTTTCTGGTCTTGTCTTCATGACAAAAATACTATTTATCTGCGTCAAAAAGCGATCGTGAAAAACCCGGAAGTAGTTCCGGCCACTCCGGAGCTTTTCACGCTCAATAAACGCAAATGCCAATCAATCAACACAATTAAATGTTAATCGGAGAGTACATTATACATATACATTATTAATACAAGTGCACGGAAGTTTTAAGAATTTTCTGTTTCCGTTTTCATGACAAAAACACTGATGTAATGCGAGAAAAGGCAATCCCGAAAAACCCGGAAGTAGATACCGGCACATTTTAGGACACATTTGCAGAGGATCGAATTATGGATTTAGGTAAGGTTTATGTATGGGTCACTCACCGCTGATGTTCAGAATTCTTCGTTCAGTTTTCATGCAGTTCCAGAGAGTTCAAGTTTGGAAGTTTCTAGCCTAAGTGTTGCTAGCATAGCCACGGGAAAGCCTTTGGGAACTGTTTTATTTTCTGTCATTAAATAAACCTTTTGGCATTCCTAAAAGTGGACTGAAGTTTATTTTGTTTGTTCTGTTGGTACAAAGCCGTATAATAAGTGGGATAACGTATATTACGCAGGTCATTATCGGAAAATAAGTACCGACAGGGCGAATGCGCGTCGGGGTCCGCTTCTGCCCTGAAGGTTATCCCTTACATATTAATGACTTAATATTAACGAGTGCACTATAATCATAATTATATTGATTATTGCCAGTATATATATATTTTTTTCTCTTGTAATTATTTCTTTTTCTGTTAGCTACTTCTTGTGAGCCATCATATTTGCGGCAGGGGAAGGTATAACCACCCTACTTTTCTTTTGGAGTTACTGCTTTGGACTCATGTATGCGACAACTGATTACTACACACAGATAATGCAAACAACCATAATAATAATGCAAAAAAAAAAAAAAACACAAGATGAATTAAAACATAATAATTATAAACTGAATAATAACACCAATAATACATCTCAATTTAGGATACAGAGACTCCAGCAAGAAACTTTCCACCACAATAACAAATCAGGTAAATACCTAGCCAATAAAATAAAACAAAATAGAGAAAAATCAAGCATAGTAAGTACAGGGAACTCAGCAGGGAAGCTAACACAGACACCGGAGGAAATAAACTGTATATTTAAAACAATTTACTCAGCACTCTAACCTGGCAAGAGCCAGATTGATGTGTAGAACTCTAACGCATTCTCCACGATATCAATCTGGGACTTCTGCAGGAGAATCCTTTCGGGGAAAGGAGGGATAAGCAGCAGAATACTTCAAGCTGATTGGGCGAAGTGACGCTGTGTGCCCGCCTACCAAGGTTTGACTTAAACCAATCCCGGTAACATGTTTGCCGTCCAGAAATGCACAAAGCGCCTCTCACTGTTCATCTTTCAAAAAAGAAATTGGAGATTCTGCTAAAACTGACTTGATAGCCTCAGCTACGCGTCCGTCCTCCTGCGTAGCCATGTTTGTTTTGCTTCGGCCCGGCACTTCTTGCTTTCGTCAAACCCGGATATCCCGCCCTAAACCCCCAGACTGGCGCGTGATTGGCTCGCACACCCAGTGGTTCGACTCGAAAAGTGTAAGCGGGAGCGGTACAAAATGTATTCTCGAGTGTTTGTGAACTCACAAATACCGCGGGAATTCAGCTTGCAGGCAAGGTTATCAGCACTCTACTCATCAGAGAAAAAACCTGACCAATCAGACATAAACATTTTCCTAAACAATATTAATCTTCCAAAACTCTTACAAGACCAAGTGGGTATGCTTGATGCGCCCATTGACAAAAATGAACTCCACACTGCCATAAAATCAATGACCAACAACAAAAGTCCTGGCCCTGACGGCTTCCCTATTGAGTTCTATAAACAATTTTGGACCATTCTTTCACCATTATTGCTAAGACTCATTTCTGAAATAAAAGTAAGTAATCTAGTAATCTTTTTATTTATATACCACCTTTTCACTGCAGATCTGAGTCCTAAAGCGGTTTACAATTGTTAATTTTGGGCATTTGTCCTCTCACTCCACACAGAGATGGGAGCAGGGTCGCCAGTACAGGAGGCGCATGCCAGAACTATTGGACATATATTGGACCTACATATGTGATGTTTCTTTTATAAAAGAAACATCACAACTACCCACACACATGAATAATGCTACAATATGTTGAGGGCGGGACAGGTTAAGTGGGGGCTATTGCCTTCTCTCGACCGGATCATTCTACCCACTGTTTTTAATGCACTGCACTATGTAGGGCCTACAGACACAACAATGTTAAGTAAGGGATAATGCGCGTCCGGGTCCGCTTCGCCCTGTCGGTACTTATTTTTCAATAATGACCTGCGTAATATACATTATTCCGCTTATTATACGGCTTTGTACCAACAGAACACACAAAATAAACTTCAATCCACTCTTAGGAATGCCGAAAGGTTTCATTAATGACATAAAATAAAATAGTTCCCAAAGGCTTTCCCGTGGCTATGCGAGTAACAGTTAGGCTAGCAACAGCTAGGCTAGTAACAGCAACTAGCAACTTCCAAACTAGAACTCTCTCGAACTGCATGAAAACTGAACAAAGAATTCTGAACATCAGCGGTGAGTGACCCAAACATAAAACTAACCTAAATCCATAATTCGATCCTCTGCAAATGTTCCTAAAATGTTCCGGAATGTCCTTCCATTTTAATGCGATCGCTTTTTCTTGCAATAAAACAGTATTTTTGTAATGAAAACATTAACAAATAATTCTGAAAACCTCCGTGCACGTGTATTAAGAATGTATATGTATAATGTATTCTCCGATTAACATTTAAATGTGTTGATTGATTGGTATTTGCGTTAATTTGAGCGTGGCTAGATCCGGAGTGGCCGGAACTACTTGCAGAGTAATCTACACATCTGAATTACAAGCAGAGGGTGCGTTGCCATGGGCAGCGCTCATCATTGTTTTGAGAGGTCAGTTATCAAGAAATAATGACCGGTAGAACGTTTTGAAATTACATTCAAATCAATGGAGCATTCTACTGCTGCTTTGAGGAGCCGTGTAATAACATTAAATAAACAACATGTTTAAGTAACAATGGCATTGACAGCAAGACCTAAGAACATCATTGATGTTTAA